AGGGCACGCGTGTTGGTGACGTGTGCGCGGAGGTGCGGTGCACGACTACGGGTGTGCTGGTGCGGTACCGCGGCGACGACGAGTGGTATCCTTGCCCTGAGGACGGGGTGCTTCAGCCGAGAGCGACCTTCTCCAGCGGCGGCATTGTGTGTCCCAAGTACGACGAAGTGTGCACAGTTGCCCCTGACGGGAGCAGTCGTCTTTCTAAGCCGACCAGCCCTGAGTCAAAGAAGAAAAGAAAGACTAAACGGAAGAGAGTTAGTCGTACAAGTAAGAAGGAAACGCAGGAAAGCGAAGTTACCGCTGATACTGCACTGCCCAATTCGCTCGACGACGAGGAGGAAGAGGAGGAGAAGCCGGTGGTGGATGGTGGGACGGAAAAGCGCCAGAGGGAAGCAGAAGGGACCAGCAGCGCAGAAGACACCGAACAGTATGAAATAAAACGTAACTCCGACGGCAGCATTGCGGCTGCTCTGCTAATGTCGGTTCTGTTTGTGTTCATCGCCACCTCAGTTCTTATGGCTCCCTGATCTACCACGAGCATCGTGTGATGCCGCAGAGTATGGGTGCAGATGTATTTCTAAACAGCGATGGCGGCGCTGCCGCGGATTTAGCTGTGCTATTCCGGGAAAAATATGAAAGAGTATAATTGATTGGGACACCCATCAAGATTATCTAATTGCTCTTTGTTTCCTGCACATTTGGCGACATTTGTGTAGGGTATTAATTATTGCTTTGGAAACCCAAATGCTCTGGGCTTGTTCACGGTTGACGGGCATTCTGCAAGTTTAGGCATAGTGTGTTGTTTCACCGAATCTGTATTGCTCACTGCTTGAAGGTGTGCTGAATATTGAACTCAGTTGTTGTTTTTTTGTTTTTTGTTTTTTTGCTATCAGCATACATGAATCACTGCAGAAAAGGATTGAAGAGATTTTTTGCCTCTAACTGAAAACACAAATTCCCCATATGTATTGCTACTGACACAAGATGATGCTTTTGTTTTCTTTCGGACTCTATCTGTTGTACGGTCTTTTTTGTTTTTTGATTGTGTCCCTGCTGCTTCTAGTACATACGTTGCTGCCAGGATGTCGTGCTGCTGTGCTGTGGTGATGCGAAGGAATTCGTGTCTCCTAAGCGGTGACGGTGTGAATACCCGCCCTGGGTGGCGCAATACTGCGCACTCCTTGGGGCAATGTTTTCCCTGCCGCCGCCCTCGCGTAGTGTTGGCGGCTCTTCACGCGTTAGCGGCCATCGTTTTTCCGCTGGCGGTTCTGCCCCACCAAGCGATATGATTACAAAAGCAATTCTATCCTCACCCTGTCGAGAGACGTGCTGTGACG